TAGATCTGAAAAAAAAAGTTTAAATCTTTCATCCAACATAGATCTCAAGATAAACATATAATACACACACATAACACGTAATTTATATAAAATACTTCATATCTATGTGTAAGATGAAAGTAACTATGCACTCACCTGATAAGGTTGTGATTGCAACTTGGTTAGCGCTTCGCTTCGACGAAACCGGGAGGTTTGCTTGAAAACCGGACTCTGTGGGGGCAGAGTTCCGAACTGAAAAACCCTTTTTTTCTCGAAGTCTTCGGGCGCTCCGGGGCTTTCTTCTAGTGTTAGGGAGGTTTCCTAGGCTTGGGGGTGTTTGGGAAGTTTCCTAGGCTTGGGGGTGTTTGGGAGGTTTAGAGAGAGAGAGAGAGTAGAGAGAGAAAGAGATGGCAAAAGGCGTGAGAAATCGGTTGGCCCTCACACCCCTTTTATAGGCCGAGGCTGCTGTCTACGCTGCACGTACCTTCGGTGGTACGCTGGGCGTTCCTCGGAACGTTGCGCGTACGAGGGTACGCAACGCGTTCGTATGTCAACGTGTCGATCTGCTGATGGTGCATCCTGGCTTCTTTCGGACTGAGCAATGCGAGACCACGAGGCATATAGGCTTCGTACGTGGGGCGTACTTCGGTACGCGAGGCGTCCGATGGTACGTTGGGCGTAGTCCTCGCACCAGCATCGCATTTTACACCTTCAGCTTCTAAAATTCGTAACTTTCGCATACGAGCTCCGTTTTCGACGTTCTTTATATCTACGCGTAGGTGGAGACGTACTCAACAACTTTCATCTAAACCCCGTCACCTAATTTTGACTTTATTTTTAAAGTTATATTTTTAACAGGCCGGGACAGGAAACGTCCGTTAAAAATTCATAACCTTGTCGTCTGACGTTCGCTTTCGTCTGTCTTTTTATCGTTGAGCTGCTATTGACGAGATCTTCGATTTTCATTTAGATTATGTCGGCTAAAAATCGCTCGATCTAAAATATGAACTCCGGGCTGCACACTGCTATGCCAAATCTTAGAAAATTCATAACTTCCTCATACAAAGTCAGATTTGGACGTTCTTTTTATGTACGCTCTCGGTTTAACGTATACTATGACTTTCGTTTAGATCGCTAAGGCTAAAAAACACTTTATCGTAAACTCACTTTTTACGTCACACAGTTTCGTGCTAGTTTTGTCACGAAACTTCGACAGATCATAACTTCTTCGTTATAACTCAGATTTCGGCGTTCTTTATATCTCCGAAATCCTTGTCACGACCACTACAACTTTCTTCATAGATATTGGGTTTATCTAACATTTTATTTTTGACGCTTATTTTCATTCTTAACGTATTATATCATTATAAACAAGTATAAAGCACATAAATTCACATAATACTCAATTAATTCCTTTCTATTACTTCAAAATGAGTTACATTTGTTGACCCTAACTATTATATCATCGCATCAATGCTTAGTGTTGAAACACGGGCATTACAGAAGAGATGACCACGATTTCGATGTTAGCCAAAGCGCGGGTCGCGTAATAAGATGAGAAATGTCCATTTTTTGATTTTCCAACTTCTTCAATTCGACTCTGAAAATTCCGAAACTTCGCGTAGAGCTTCTCTCGAACATCCTAAGCATGCTCCAATCTTCAAACACACCTAAAACATCCACAAAAACCGTGAAAAGTAGATATATCCTCGATATTGTCCCGAAAATGTAAAATGCATATAAAATTACACTAAAATGCCATGCAATGCTAGAAATAAACATGTAACGAGCGTGTAAAAGGTACAACTTATACACCTAACACATACCACCATTTTTTAAACGAAAAACTAATCTACTCCTAACTACCACATGTGTCTCAAGTGAGACTTGAACCCACGAGCTCTCAAATGAGAGGATCACTCCTTACCACTAGGCTAAAGACCCTTTGGCCACATAACTCCACCAAAAGTTCCCATCAAACAACTTATCACAAGAATCAACAAAATACAAAATGCATCATTCTCATAACTAACACACACCAACGATAATGGCAGTTGTTGGTCCCAAAACTACTCCTTCAGACACCTGAAACAACCAGCTTAAACATGACTTATCTGATTTCAAAGGAAGCAGACCCTTATTTCCTCAATTTATAGTCTCTACTGAAACGTCTCTATTGTCAACATCTGGAAAATCCCAATGTAACCATATCACAAGAACCCTCTTGTGCTTTCCTACACTTGTCACGCCAACCATAACTACCCAGATCCTCCAAATGAATATCCTAAGCCTTAAATCTCTCATTTTTGGTGGTGCCAGAACCTGCAGCTGCTCTCTCGTCCCCCACTAGGTTTTCGACCCAAATTCTAAAATCATATGCTTGATATCTTCTTCCCATGAATATAGGAGGATGAAAAATAACCTTGGCGTAATAATCGATAACTCCAATAATCGACTAAAATCATATCCTCCTCCACTTGAATCAGACTTCATCCTCGAAATCCGCCTTGGCTAGGTTGCAGAAGACAACCCTAAAAATAATACTCAAAGACTAATAATCGCCTATCTGATATACATATTCCCAAGTCATTTCGACTAGGAACACTGCCATCCACAAAGAAAAGAGTACCCAAAACAAATTGACCATAATCACTTAACTAATCCCTTATATGGAAAACCATGCACAAAAAAGAAAAAGAAAAAGGGCTTCCGCTGCTCACTTGACTTCCTGACGAGTCACCACTATCCTACTGCTCCAACTCGTAACCATCAGTGTACAACATATTAGTCATATTTCCCATAGCTTAATTGTAAAATTTATAATTAATTTGAAGCTTCCTTTTTCCATTGTAATGCCAATTCTTATATGCATGGTTACAAAAGGGGGGGGGGGGTACATGATGATTATGATGATGATGATGATGATGATGATGATGATGATGATGGTGATGATAATAATAACAACAACAACAACAACAACAACAACAACAACAACAACAACAACAATAATAATAATAATTAAAGGGTTTGATTTAAGGCGTGTTAGGCACATAGTGTTTGAGAGTTTCTAACTTCTAACGTTTGACAAAACGCTCCGTTTTTAACAAAAAAAGCTTGTTTGGTACTACATGCATTTATCGTTTAGTTTAAACAAAACACTCTAAATTTAAAAGCTATCTCATGCAGCGTTTAACAAAACGGTTCCCGTTACCTGCTACTCGCTACCAGCTAGTTTTGCCGAACACGGTCCATATGTTTTGAAGTTTATAGTCTAATTTTAACACGTTTCAAATTATACACATCCATGATACCTGAGAAGAGGTAACAATTCTCAACCCAACTCGTGACACGATACGAAAATAAACGGGTTTGGATTGAGATTTTTGACCCGCCAACCCGCTTATGTAATGGGTTAGGTTGGGTTATGTGTTTCGGTTCGTGGGTCAACCCGCCATATTAATTATATTTAAAAAAAAATAATATTCATGTATGTATTATGACTTATGAGTAGGGGTGTTCAAAAATATCCGTATCCGAAAATCCGATCCGAAATTCCGAACTGAAATTATTCGAAATTTCGGATATCCGAAATTCAGATATCCGTTTTTTCGGATTCGGATACGGATATTGATTTTATAAATTTTCGGATATTTCGGATATCCGATATCCGAAAAATAATTTTTTTATTAATATCTAAAAAGAATTTATTATAAGAAAATGGGATTATAAAGAATTTGTTAGCTACTTAGGGTTAGTGCCCTACATGTTTTTTGTTAGGTTTATGTATATCTTTAGTGTATGAATATGTATTTTGTTTGATTGAATGTGAAATACGTTTTACTTAACAAATGAATGTTAGTTTATTAGAGTTAAATTATTGGAATTATTAATTGTTGTTTAAAAAATAATACAAACGATATTAGTTGATGCATTTTAACCTTTAAGTGAGAGTTGGTATTTGAATGTGTTTTAACTTTTATGCCTTTCTCACTGTGAATCATTTTACATAGTAAATGGATGTTGATTTAAACTATTCTATATCTTAATATTTGATAGTTAATTACCAGAATTTATTTGGTTTATTAAACAAAGGAAACAAAAGTTTTGAGGCGTAAATGCTCCAGCATGCGAGAGTTTGTTGAATTTCGTTTGCTTAAAAGTTAAATTTCCAATTGTTAATTTGGTTTATTCCATTATTATTTATTTTAACTTTTAATTAGGTTTAGAAATTACAAGTTTTTTAAACAATAAAAAAGTGATTTTTTTTTCGGATATCCGAAATTTCGGATACGGATTCGGATACCAAAAATCCACTATCCGAATTTTCGGATATCTGAAATTCGGATATCCGGTTTTGAACACCCCTACTTATGAGTGCTGGGTGCCCTACTCAATAAAAAATCCAATCTTTGACTATTGTTATTCAAAAAGACCACCTAATATTGTTATTCTTTACCTTACTACCTCATTGCCGCTCACCCATCAGTACCACATCCTGTTGACGTCACACACCACCAACCCACCGGTGCAAAGTCGCAAACCAGCAATACACTTGCGCTCCTCCTGCCCACCACCGTCGATGAAACCTACCTGAAACCCGCAAATCTGTATAATTAAACATGTTATGTAGGTTGTGTTGAGTTGATGTTTCTGACCCGCCAACCTGAATACATATATGGGTAGGGTTGGGTTGATGTATTTTGACCCGCCGACTCACCAACCAGTGACCCTTGAACCCGTGAACCGGACCCCGACCCAACTGCCACCTGAGACGCATCCTAGTGATAAAATCGATACATATGCAAATGCTAGGGTCTAATTTTATGTGATTTAAACTTAAAGGACAAAATGATGACAAAACCAAAATGCCAAATTTTATCAATAACCCTTTCACAAATTCGAAAATAAAAAGATCAATTTTTAAACGAACTTAACAATTGTGGTTGTATATCACTTTGTTAAAATCCAAGGTCTAATGTGAAAAATATATATCTCTTTTTTCTTTTCGTTTTCTATTTTTTTATTTTACCCAAGAAAACCTCTGTTCCAGTCTCAGCTGCATCTGCTATCCGCTCACCTCTCGCCGCCTCCACCATACGCCGTTGAAGCTCTCCGACAAACGGCTTTGTCTATTCGACCTGAAGGTTCAGGTTTCTTTATATTCTTCTACTTCTTCATACATAGCTCGTCTCCCTTTATTTATAAGTATCTTTTTTTCTTTTTCCAATTTGATTTTGTTGATTCAAGTTAGTTCAGTCGTAACTATATGATGTTAATGTTTTGAGATGTCGTTCCGGTTTGTTTGTATTACATTTATGTGTAATGCACTGCTTTTCATTGGAGATTCAATTGTATTTAGGGAATTAGGGCTTTGAGAAATTCAAATTGACAGAATTTCTTCTGGAATTAGATAAGTTTGGACGATGATTTAGATTGGTTAAAGCAATTAGAGTGCATTTAACATGCCTAAGCTTTTCAAGAATCAAGATTGGAAATAGTATATTAACGTGCTCCAGGCTATTTGAATTTTAGATTCTAGATCATAGTTTTAGATTCTTGTAAGGGATGTGAAGGTAAGTTGAGAAGAAGGGACAATGATGTAATTTACTTCCTGGAATATAGCAAAGAAAACAAGATTAGGTAGGAAATAGTTTGTGGTTAGCTGATTAGTTTTTGTGTTCCATAACATTCTTCTTCTCAAGAGCTCAACCTCACTCTTCTTGAGTCTAGGTAATATTCAAACTCTAGATCAGTGTTGTCTGAAAAAACTGATGTATGCATAATCTCATTAAGTCATTGTATGTTTTTTGTCTGAAGGTTTATGTTTCTCTTGAAATGTAAGTCCTTGTATTTTAAAGTTCCTAGTTTTTCTTGTTTACTGTGCTTGGATTTTGATGTTGTATGTAGATCATCATCATCATCATCATCATCATCATCATCATCAAAGTGTAAGTAAAGATGGGGAGAAAAGCTGGTGAGCTGCATATAAACGCAAAGAAGTTTGGTGGACTTTCAAAACCATGTATGAAGGATATGATTACATTTCTTGGGTGTTTGTCACTTAATCATAACTCTGATGAAAAATGCACTCGTCAACGCCAACTACTAGACACCTGTTTGGAATCACAGGTCTCCTCATAAAAATAAAATTTCAATTCATATTTCATTTCATATCTCTTACAGTATTATTTTGCATTGCAGAGTGGCAAAAAAAGAAAACCTTGGGGAACCCTCAATTATCACTTGCAGAGGCTCAACAGAGGGAGGAAGTAGTAGTAATTACCAATTTTGGTTTAAACTTTAAAGCATTGCAGACTACAGAGATTAGATTATTTTCAGGCGCAGCGCATGTTTGTTAACTTACTTTTATTTATGCTCTAATTACCGATTTTGATTGATTATTATAAATGGGTAACTAATAGGTACCTACTCCAATTCATAAAATGTGGTATAATCTCTATCGAATAAGTTTTCATGAATCATCATACACTTTGCTGGATGGATGTTCTCTTCTATAATTTCATAAAATGCAACTATCGTATTTACTTCTTCACTTCAATCAATATAACGTGTATGGTATGATGTATTGTTTGCGTATGTATCAATATATGATGCGTCTGTAATGATGGAGAAGTACTGAAAACTTTTTTTCGTGACTTTATTTGTCAAATTTGGAAAAAAAAAAAAAAAAAAAATTAACTAAATGTAATATGGCAAATCTATAATGATCTTTTTGAACATTTTATATATGTATATTGATTAAATTGTTAAAAAATAAAAATAAATGTGAACAATTACAAAATTTGGTTGCCATGACATGTAAATGTAATTACCTCTTTTTGATATTAAAAACAATTTTAATAATTAATTTTTTCAAAAACGAAAAAGAAAACAACATATCCAGTAATTTTGGCTTTTCATTCACGGACCGCCGGATGATCCAAAAAGAGATTATAATGCCATCCCTAGCTCCGACAAATGTAAATTAAAAATAAAATAATTGATTTATCGGTTGAGTTGATTATAGCATCCGGTTGGTAATTTCTTTTTGTTTTTATTATTCCCAAAGTATATTAATGAAGAATAAAATGATGAACGCACGTTTATAGTTATAGAAGCCAATTACAAAATGACAATTGTGGACCCGAAACGTACAAAATTTTTAGATTTTGAAAATATTGTAAATAAATCATCAAGACTATCCATTTAAATTAAAAAAATTTCAATGATCTTAGATTTCTAAGGGTGACCGAAATACCCATGGAAACCGATTGGAACCTAGCAACGAATTCAGTTTTATTCTCGATTCCGTTGTATCCATAATTTGGTTTTACTCTATATAGGATATAGATCTAGTAAAAAGAAATTTTTTAATAGGAAGGTACAAATTTTTTTCTAGATCCATAATGTGTTTTTTGAGATTTTTTTCTTATGAATCATCTTACTTTTGATTAATCAAATTATTCTTTTTGTTGGTTCGTTAAAAAAAAATATGCATATAAAAAATTATTTAACTATATGCACATATTGTTTGTAGAAACCATTTATCAAGAAGAAAGGGATAATCTAAAGTTACAATATATTGATGATGTTAGCAAAATAGTTGGGTCTATAAACCAACTTCATGATAAGGGGATCTTGCTTCATTCGTCTCTTCAAAGACATGTGGGCGATTGAGACAACTTTATTTTGGAAAGATATCTGGTTAGGTGATCTTTCCCTTATTCACTGATTCCCTCGTTTATTTATTTTGAAGATCGATAGAGATTACATTGTTGAAGATCGTTGGAATGGTAATGGGTGAGTTTAAAATTGGCATCATCAGATAAAAAGAGAGGTTGAACTGAGTCAGATGATGGAATTGAATAACTTACTTAATTCTATTCATTTTCCTGAATGTATGAATAGCTAGAGATGGAATCTGGGAAATCGTGTCATATTTCATCTTTTAAACGGTTGGTATTGGAAACTATTATTTTGACTCTTCTTTGGGTAATTTGGACGTACCATAATTACCTTCTTTTGGTGAAAATAAGATTAGAAAAGATACCTTATGTGTTTAGTTAATAGTTTTTTCATTATATTGGTTTATGAATAGGAGCAGCAAGGCTAAAAATAGAACCAAGAAACCCAATTTTTACCTTCCCCTTTGTAAATAGTTTTCCTTTGCTAGCTTTTGCTACCTTTTGATATGTAATGCATGAGCTGTTAAAAAAAATATAAGTTTTATAAACCGGCAAAGAGAACCATCTATGAGCATAAAGATTATCCAATAACAACATACAAAACCAGAACACTCAAACCTCTCATACATTGAACTCACAAACCTTAAGTTTCTGTAACTTTGGTTGGCGTTTAGAGAGAGAATCTTCTAAACTCATACTTCTCAACCCTCCACTTCTAGCACCTTGTCAAAAACATCCCTCAAACTATTTTCTACTTCAAGATCGGCCCAAGTGTTCCATTCATTAATACCACCGGCTAAACGATGACAATAATCAACGCAATACCAACATATACAATAATAAGTAACAACATTTATTTTCACAATGTTTAGTTAAAATTGCAAAATGTTAATAATTTCAACATCCTCCCTCAAGAAACCAATATTTTCTTTTACCGAAAATGATCCACAATCTAATAAGTTTTTCAGGTAGAAAAATATATGTTGAATAAAACTTAATGATTTTTTGAAAGTATTTGCATTCTGATTATGAGAATCAATACTTAAAACTTTAATTAAACCATTTGAAAAAAAATTCCCTTACAAAAAATGCATATTTATTTCTAAATGACTCATTAACAGTTTCATGGAAAATAAGTTAAAAGCTAACTTCCATTGTCACAAAAGCATCAACATGAGTTAACTCTTTTATTCCTACACTAAATAACAGCTTTACAACTCAACATGTCAAACTCACGTCAAAGCTCTAACTTGTACTTTCTTTGAGTTACACACACATACACTTTTGTTCAATATCTATAATTTCAATGCCAAAGAAAAAAAAAATAAGTTTGTCTGAATCTTTTATAAGAATTTTTCTTGATTTTTTTTTGATAACACAGATCTTTTTATGTAATTAACCATTTAAATTCTATGGTAATTATTTAAATTATATTGTAATTTGACATGATCACCAAAAATTATTGCAAGAACATACACCATGATGAAAATGATGAAATCTCATGTTATCCCTAACAACAATCTCCCTACCACTAACCTTGGAGGCCCCACACATAACCACATGACAATCTTCACATATCCTTATATTCTTCACAATCCTAATGATTCTAGAATCACCAAGCAATCCATACGCCAATGCCAATTTTTCACTATGTCCCCACAATATCTTCATCTTCTCATCATCACTCACATCATAAGGCACACAACTCAAAACCGGCTTATACCCATCTAACCTTAATTTACACAAAAGATCCTCCAACTCTCTCTTAATCTCCAAACTCCTAGGATGACCCATGTCACCCGCAAGAAACTCGTGAATTACCCCTTTTGCCCCTTCTACCCAACTATACGCAGGATTCTTCTTCAAACCCTTGGATCTAAACAACCCTCGAATTCTTGAAACATCATTCCATTGTTTAGCAGAAGCATAAGTGTTTGAGAGTAGTATATAGTTTCCTATAGCATTTGGTTCGAGTTCAAATAAATGATTCGCAGCAATTTCAGCAATTTTAGGGTTCTTATGGATACGACAAGCACCAAGCAAGGCTCCCCAGACACCCGCATGGGGCAAAATGGGCATTTTTTTAATAAGATCATATGCATCATCAATGCATCCGGCTCTTCCAAGAAGATCCACCATGCATGTATAGTGGTCAGCATTTGGGGTTACATTATAGTCTTTTTCCATTACTTCAAAAAGATCTTGACCTTGTTTTACTAAACCTCCATGGCTACAAGCTGTGAGGACTCCTAAAAATGTTACTACATTTGGTTTCACATCCGTTTTCACCATTTTTTCAAACAAATTGATTGCTTTTTGTGCATATCCATGCATTGCGAATCCAAGAATTAACGAGCTATAAGAGTAAACGTTTTTCTCAGGCATTTTATCAAACACATTACATGCATCATCAATACATCCACATTTTGAGTACATATCAACTAAAGCAGACCCTATGATGACATTATTTTCAGGTCCAAATCCAGCGTTTTCAGCAACTTCACGAATCCATTTGGCATACTTGGGTGCACCTAATTGGGCACAAGCTGAAATGACACTAGCTAATGTGACCTCATCTGTTTTAACATGAGCCTCTTGCATTTTCTCAAAATAGTCCAAAGCCTTTTTCGGTTTGGCATTCTGTGAAAATCCCATCACCATTGATGTCCATGCTACCATGTCCTTTGTAGGTAGTCCTTGAAACAACTCACTTGCTTCTTCCATGTTCCCATGTCTTGCATAAGCCACAATTAATGTAGTCCATGAGATTTCATTTCTTTCAGACATTTCATCGAACACTTTACGAGCACTATCTAACAACTCGCATCTAACATACATGTCAATCAAAGTATTACCCACAAACAAATCATAAGTAAACATACCAAGACTTATAACCTGCCCATGAATTTGCATACCCAGAATAACCCCACCACCACCACAAGCTTTCAACAAAGCTGTGAATGTAAACGAAACAGGACCAATCCCTTGTCGTCTCATTAGATTATACAAAGTTACAGACTCCATAAAAGGTCCTTGTACAGAGTAACCACGTATCAAAGCTGTAAACAAAAACGGGTTTGGGTGCTTAACTTGGTGAAAGACGCGAAGGGGGTATGGGTCCATAGGGACGTTGAATTTTGCAGTTAAAACACGAATGAGCTTTGTAATTACATAGGAGCATTGATCAAGACACTTACGGATGATGTGGGCATGAATTTGCTTGGCTTGGTTGAGATTGTTGGAGGAGTCGAGTAGTGAGACTATTTGTGATTCCAATATTTTTCTTTGATGATCATATTGAGGAGGTTGTTGTTTGTTGATGATGCTAAGATTTGGGAGGATTTTGGAGGTCGTTGGTGTACGAGAGATTGAAACCATCATACATGAAAATGATACATCTACTTTGAAAAAGAATTGGTATTTTTAGCGCCGATATTTGATATCCCCTGTAATTCTTGGAATTAAGGTAAAAAAAAAAAGGCAAACTGTTAGATTCGATCCTAAAATATTTTACAAATACATAATAACGAGGTTGATCAATTTAATTATGAGTTTGCACGGAGTTCGATCAATTTGTCAAAAGATAAGTCTCAACCATGTATAAATAAATGCAATTACGCCATATTATGGTTATGGACCAAAGTAGCAATGCATGCATGTGGGTGGGTTTTAGGTCGAAAGAAAATTTCATTTATGCATTTTATCAAACACCTAATGTGCATGTTAAACTACCGAATAGAGACAATCACAATCAATCAATCAATCAATTAGATGAAAATAGAATGAAACTGATTGTTGAGGCATGATATACAAAACAAAAGAAGGAAAGCTTCAATCTTGAGACTAATAAAACGAAGAACATTTTAAGAAGAGAAGAAAACATTTACAGGGGATAAATATAAACAGAAACAAAAGGCGGACGTTCGTACGTTACTAACCTGAAACGTGACGCTAGTTTTCTCTATCGATTGGCTACTGGCGTGGCATCCAAAAGAAGAGAACCGGTGCAACGTATTGCAGCTGTCTGATCTGCGCGATCGCTTACGGCTGTGGCATCGAAAGGAATAGAAGTGGAGGACTGGTACGTATAGAAAGAAAGCAAATGGAAAGAATAGTCAAAAGATTTCTTTTTCTTCAAAATTTTAAACTTTTGCAGTTTCCTCCTTGTACTTTTATTATATCACACTTGGTGCCTAACAAAAGAAATTCTTTTATAATAAAGCATTGTTTTTACAAAACAAGTTAGTTGTCCGGTAAAACAAAATATGCACATAATCTTGACACTTGGTGCCTAACAAAAGAAATTCTTTTATAATAAAGCATTGTTTTTACAAAACAAGTTAGTTGTCCGGTAAAACAAAATATGCACATAATCTTGACCCGTTTATCATGTAATTAATTTTCAAAATAATTTTTTACATTTAAAATACAACTTTCATTTTTTGTTTAATGACGGTTTGATACAGTGGGTAGTGACATCCGATACGACAGTAAACCATAACACCCAATGAAAATAGAATGTTGTAATTTATGAATTTCCAAAGTACAATCCTTTAAAATGAACTAAAATGAAAGTAGGATGCTATAATTGATAGATTTTAAATGTAAAGTGATTTAAGATTACATAAACTCAGAGTATGATGTCGTAGTTGGTAGATTCTCAAAATAAAGTGCTTCAGATCCAACAACAAGAAATAAGTGTGGATCAATCCCATAAAATGATATCATATCATAATCATAGTCATTTTCTGGCCAACCATCAATAGAAAAGGCTATGATAGGAGTAACCACTGAAACAAGAAAAAAATTATTACATATCAAATACATTGTATAACTTTGTTTAAACTAATCAAACACAAAAAGTTTGTTTCATAAGTAGGAGAAAAGGTAATATAAAAACAAATGAAGGTGAATGCATGCCTTTCTTCAGAAAATGGGAAGATTGTTAACTATGAAGTTGAAAGTAATGAATATATAATATCTAGTAATCTCATTTGAATTATGCATCCATGACATATTCTTCTCAAAGACTAGAGGTCCTGCCATCCATTATGAGATCAAAAAAACATATAAAATCAAACAAACAAATGACGAATATCGTTGATCAACTAATGAAACAACCATGATCACTAGTCATGAATCACATAGATGAACAATAAGAAAATACCTTCAATTTTAGCTAATACCTTGCTATGCAACTTCGTTTATATAAATTTTTAGCCATGTAACTGCAAAAGTTTATCAAGACACATATGTCAAATTATTCAAATTGAAAGCAAGAAAATGATAATAAACAAAAAGATTGGCAAAAACACAATAGCTTATCATATGGTGCATGAGTCAAGAGTAATAAAGAGAACTAAAAACCTAAGAACATGATTTTTTTTTATATACAAAATTTTTCAAAAACAATATACCTAAATTTTTATTTTCAAGTAACTAACAGATATATGATTTTGTTTTTCGAAAAAAAACAAATTTTTTTTCGTATTTACATATATATGCACATATGCACATATGTTGATCATAAACATATATACATCAAAAATAACATCAATCATATAGGTGTGTCTAAAACATTCATTCTAGGATTTTAGATTGGTTCAATGAGCAAATTATATTTGGTCTTGTTACCATGTTCATTCTGGATACAATTTCATATATTGGATTTTCCGTTTGCGTCGTAACTCTATCACTTATAGTGATTTATTTGGAAAACAAAAAAACCCTAAAAATCATAAAAATGCATAAAAAAAATACCTAGACATTACAAAACTTTTTTTGAACTTTTTTATCAAAAAATCGCAACCTTTTTGACAATTTCGCTGAAAAAAAAAATCAATTTTTTTTTAATTTTTTTTTTCAAATTTTTTTTCAGCGATTTTATGTTAAAAGCTGCGATTTTTTGATAAAAAAATTCAAAAAAAAGTTTTGTGATCTCTAAGTATTTTTTTTATGCATTTTTATGATTTTTAGGGTTTTTTTGTTTTCCATAGAACCTAAACCTATATATATATATATATAAGAAAAACAAATGACTTTTTCAAAGAAAAAATCAATGCTTCCTTAGTTTGTACTATAGGGTTTGTATGATATTTTGTTATGAAAAACATTATGTAAAAATTTATCTATTTAATTGGAGTTTTTAATATATGAAAAAACATCATAAATGGTCCCTGTGGTTTCCGCAAATCTGAAGTTTAGTCCCCATGGTTTAAAAAATCATATATGGTCCATGTGCTTTCAAAACTTTTGACGATTGGTCTTTATTGCTAACTCCGTTAAGTTGTGTCCGTTAATTGAAGGGCATTTTCGTCATTTCACTACCACAGGGACCATTTATGATGTTTTCTCTTATTTTATTTTATTTTTTAAAAGAAAAAAAATATGTACCACTCTCCTTCACCCCCTCTTCTTCCAAATAAGGGATCACAGGGTGACAAACGAACACCCTAATGTTCTTCAAGGCCTTTTCAACTTATCTCATCTCTTCAATCGTTAACTCTCTTGTTTCTCTCTCAGAAAGATCATTCAGAAAAGAAAGACGATTCTACGAATAAGGGATCACTCCTATGATTTCATGAAATGCGGTGACTGTTAAGTCTACATTGAGTGCAAGCCCTTGTTGTGTTGGTCGAAGACTTTGAAAAAAACCTCGAAGTCCAATTGCGCCACCTCCTATGTCTTTAGCGCCTCCCATGGAGGTCGAGTAAAGTGAACGCCCTAAAGGGATGCATTCTGACAAATGGTTTTCACGAAGGACAACATCTAACGCTTGTAGATAGTCTTGTGGAAGTGGGATTGAATCGTTGTCTTCTTTACTCAAGAATTTGCTTAATTATTTGTCGTTGAGTATCGATACAATCTTGATGTTCACCCTAAAAAGCTTGGATTTTTCTTGATTCTCTTCACAATTTGGAGGAATCGAAGGATTACCCTTTGGAATTGGGATGTTAATAAAGAGTTCAAGTCTGTCTTTTTGAACTCGATTGGGCTAAAAAGGTTTCTCTGGTCATCGTAGCTAGGATTGGCACTAGATAAAATGGTGGGGTTTTGTTCGACGAGTTTTTGTTTGATCAATCGAGCAATATCTTTTGAAGGTTTAGGGAAGATGTCGACATCGTAATGGTAAATTAGTTGTGAAGGTTCGAATTTTACAAGGAAATGACTGGCTAAAAGTGAGATAATTGTTCCCTCTGAGTATCTGGAATCCGACCTTCTTGCCACCATTAATGGTGGGTCTGGTAGTGTTGAATCCCTAACAGGTCTCGGTTCGTCTTTCTTTGCTACCATTGATGAGTTAATTGTTCTTAGAATCACCTCTATAGTTCTTTTAATTACAAATATTGAGAACATTAACGTTACATTTGATTTAAGTTTCAGATTTTTCATACTAAATTCTTCAAGAAATACAAAACAAAAAGAGGGTTTTGTCTACCTGTTTGATGAGATAGATATGAATCAGAAGTAGCAACAAGAGGTGGAAGAAGAAGATTTTGCTTCCATGACAGTTTCTGCAAATGGGGTTTTGGTGCGAAGGCGTGATTTAAAGGTAGAGGTAGATGTAGAGATGGAGCTATGGCGTATTGAGGTGGAGGCAGAGGAAGAAGAGGGGGTGAAGGAGAGTGGTACAAAATTTTTTCGTTAAAAATAAAATAAAATAAGAGAAAACATCATAAATGGTCATTGTGGTAGTGAAATGATGAGAATGCCCTTCAGTTAACGGACAAATTAACGGAGTTAGCAATAAGGACCAATCGTCAAAAGTTTTAAAAGTACAGGGATCATCTATGATGTTTGTAAACCACGGGGAATAAAATTCATATCTAGGGAAACCACAAGGACCATTTATGATGTTTTTTCTTAATATATTTAAGTTTTTGTTTGATCTCAAGTCTCTCTCTCATTCTCTCTCTCTCTCTCTCTCTCTCTCTCTCTCTATATATATATATATATATATATATATATATATATATATATATATATATATATATATATATATATATATATATATATATAGACAAAATTGCAAAAATTGTCCCTTTGGTTGTCAAAATTATGTGGATTTGGTCCAAAAAAGTTTGGTGGTGCATAATTGGTCTAATTTCGGATCTTTTTAGTGATTTTGGTCCCTACACACTTAAAAAGATGAATATGCTCTTATAATTTATATTTTCTAATTTTTTTAAGCTGAAATACATAAATTAATTTGAATTTTTTTTAACATAAAACAAAAAAATAAATAAAAGAAAATAACCCAAACCCCTCCCATAGAAGCCCCTTCATCACCAGCTTCACCCTCCACCACCGGTGAATGGAACCACCGCCGCTAGACATCATTCTTGTCAGAGTTCCCTCGAGCTTATTCTCCTTCTCTCTCTTTTCTCGTATATACTATTTCCCATCTCTTTATATTTCCTTTTCCCCAAGATAGCTTTTCATCTTCTCCAGCTTCTCTACGTTCTATCAAAACTCACCAGAAATCTCTCAAATCAACCACCTTTCTTTACTGGAAGATTGATCATTAACCGGAGTACAACCCTCATTCACATACTCGAAGTCCATTGAAACCCTAACATGATTTTGATTTGTTCGAATAACATCGTCAAACTGCTTTGCCATCGCAACTCTAACCTTTGTGCGCCGCTGTCGGAACCCTAGGCGCCATATATCAACGAATGGGGAAGGATTTGCAGTCATTTCTACATCCAACGGAACCACCAGATCTGCACTCAGCCACCAGATTGCCACCATCATCGACCTCTTTATGCCCCGATCTGAAACCACCAGGCCTCTTCTCGTCATCGAAACTAGGGTAACGGAGTTGTGGATCTCATTTTAAGGTGTGGTGGGGTGTGATTGAAGAGGAATGGGTGGTCCGGTAGGTGGTGGATCGATAGGTCGTTATTCGACAGGTGGTGGTCCGATAGTTGGAGGACCGACAGTTGGTTGTCCGGCAGTTAGAGGTCTGACATGTGGTGCTCCAGCGGTGGTAGGGTGATGGTGTTTTTAGAGAGAGAGAGAGAGAGAGAGAGAGAGAGAGAGAGAGAGGGAAGGAGGGAGGGAGGGAGGGAGGGAGGGAGAGAGAGAGAGAGAGAGAGAGAGAGAGTAAAGTGAGTGGGTAAGGGTGTACTTTTTTCTTTTTCTTTTTCTTTTTAAATAAAATTAATAAGAAATTAAATAAAAAACTAAAAAAATAATTATATAAGGGCATATTCGTCTTTTCAAGTTGGGTGTGGACCAAAACCACACATAAATGTTAATCATAGGTACCAAAACCACACAAACTATCCAAAATTGCACCAATGATGCATCACCAAACTTTTTTGGACTAAAACCACATAATTTTGACAACCATAGGGACCATTTTTGCAATTTTGACATATATATATATATATATATATATATATATATATATATATATATATATATATATATATATATATATATATATATATATATATATTATGACCTCTTAATTTGTTCCATATTTGAATGGTGCATGAAAGAGAGGAAGATCCTCATCTTGTATATATAACATCAAAGTTAAATACATATGCATGCATGCCATTTGCCATCATGAATGCATGTAATTATGTAAATGGTGGGCAGAACTTCACTTCTGAAATGTACCATCCACTCTTTTATGGTCCTTAAATTTCATGTTTCAATATATCCAAAAAAAATTCAAAGGTACGTTGAAAAATAGGTTATGAAGGTATCATATCTGAAGTCCTGAGGTTGTTATCTTTTTACAGTTTCTTTTAATAAAGAACTAGCTAGAGATAGAAAATGCACATAAAATAATAATTATTTAGCTTCTTTTTTCTGAGATAGTAAGTTTAAAATGAAAGAAATGCGAATTTATAACTTTTTAATACTTTTGTTTAAAAAATTATATTGTAATTTTATATGTATATATAATACGCTGCTCGGATGTGTTTCCAACTTAGTCCCACCTCCGGTTAATTAATTCTCTCCCTTCAACGCTTGACCGGTCTTCCTCCTGTGTTTTATTTACTTATTTAACCATAGAAGAAGTAATATTCTTATCATTTTTTATTAAGTAGTGAATCATTATTATTTTAATAATCTCTAAATATTATTAAAAAAGAACCTTTAATTCTATACTTAAAAAATCAGGACCGTTGATTGTATTTCAGTCTTATATTCTAGTCCCTTAGATTATTTGCTGACATCATCATTTGACCCAAACACCCGTTACCTAATGTTGGCTTCCGTGCTTCGTTATTTACTCTCTCTATCTCTCCTTCCGGTCGTAACCTACTGAAACAGAGAAACCATTCCCTTCTACTTCAATCGATGCCAAAAAACCTAAGAAATGGTTTTGAAAATATGATTGGTTTGATTTCGGAGTTACGTGAACTGAATGTCCATTATCGTGCATCCTTTGAGTGATGATTATCAGACAATCGATTGAGAATCGGCCAAGCAGACAATCGATTAAAACCAAAAGGTCTAAGATTTCCTTGCAATGTCCTCATTTTCTTCTTCAATCTCTCACTTACGGGTACAAATACAAGTTTCTTTCATCCTCCCCATGTTGTTCTTTCTCTACTCTATTTTATGTTCACATGATCGATGACTTTGGACTCTGGATTTTCTTCCAACCATGTTAATATTTATAAAGTTCTCATCTTTATATACGTATATGCTTCCAATTTTCATCAGGTCATGGGTTTTTATAGGGTTCTTTTTCAAAGACCGCCTAATCAAAAAAGTGTTTTCGCCTCAAATCTAGGGTTTCTTCTGGTTAACTCATTTTAGGTAATTGAAATTGACGATAACACTATATCTGTGTATAGTTCATGTAAATTGATTACGATAGTTGATTTGCATTTTTTTTCTGGTTTATATTATTAGATTACGATCTAGGCTGAGTTGATTTGCATTATGTTTGCATCGGTTGATTTCATTTTTCCCCGATTTCTTTCTCCACCTTGTTTGTTTATGAATGTCGTATGTGGTTTGGTAATTCGGTAAATATAGTTGTCGGTTGGTCATAAATAGAAAAAAAAACTCTATTTTCTGTAGCTACACAATAAATTAAATTGATTAATAACTTTTTATAGCTCCAGATCTGGGTTTAAACAACATAAACATTGCGAACTAAATAACAATAATCAGTATTAGTGTTTGGAACTGATTACGATTATGTTTTTTCACTTCATATTAGGCGAAATAAATCAGATTTTGACAACCTAAAATCAATTGATTATGGTTCTTCGAGCCTCAATAATCATTCACATTCAAACACAGGTTATGAATCACTCAACATGATAGATTCACAAGAGTTCTAAAAGGGCATCCAATTCAGAACAAATATGGGAACACCCATGCGCAAGTTCTTCTTCTTCACTCAAGTTCTTGTTTCCTTACAATGAAAAAAAATATATGTTCATTATCATTTACAATTATTTTTATGCAGTGGAATGGTAAGAAGACCAAACGAGACACTGAGGCTAATAGTAACAACTTTTATCAGTATTGTACTTGGATTCTTTTTAGGAGTATCCTCCCTAACAGTTTCATTATCCAAGGTACACTTTCAACAATTTTATCATTCTTTGATGCACATGAACATAATTTTATCAAAAGTAGTTAAAAAGGTAAAATGTATTGTCTTTGAAACAGATGAACTTTCCATCTACTCTACTTCCATCCATTGATCTTGGTTAC